GACCAATCTAAAATCCTGTCTTGGTTATGATGTGAAGGAAATATCCATTTGTCCACAGACCCATTTTTCATGAATTCATACACCAGAAGCCTGCAAAATGCAATGTGCACTTGATATGAACAACAATGATTGAACCAAGATTGTAATGCAATATAGGATAGGAAAGTTGACCTATGCGACCCTTCCGAGCAGTATCCGCAGAGGCGAACCAGGTTCATGTGATGCATAGATCCAATAGTGTTAACTTCAGTTATAAACTCCTTCTCTCCATGAGGGAAAACTCTGTCAAGTTTCTTCACAGCTACCAGAGTCCCATCTCCAAGGCTTCCTTTATATACACTTCCAAATCCACCTAAAAGGAATCAAAACATCAGAAGTTTCCTATGAACACATAAGATTTTCTGTTCTGTTTCAGCCTATATCCCGACCTTATAGTTCTACCTTTCTAGAGTAAACCGTTGAGGATTGTTGGGAGAGGAGTCCTACATCGGCTAACTAAAGGGTTGGTATGATGCCTTTTTGGGAAGCCCAAAGCAACGCCATGAGAGCTTATGCTCAAAGTGGACAATATCATACCACTGTAGAGAGTTGTGATTCCTAACATGCTATCAAAGTCACGCCCTTATCTTAGCCATGTCAATAGAATTCTCAAGTGTCGAACAAAGAGTGTACTTTGTTCGAGGACTCCAGAAAGGAGTCGAGCCACGATTAAGGGGAGGCTATTTGAGGGCTCCATAGGCCTTAGGGGAGGCTCTATGGTGTACTTTGTTTGAGGGAAGGATTGTTGAGAGAGGAGTCCCACGTCGACTAAGGAGTTGATCATAGGTTTATAATTAAGGAATACTTCTCCATTGGTACGAGGTCTTTTGGAGAAACCCAAAGCAAAACCATAGTCCAATATGTCCCTAAATACTTTTCACTCCTGGAGTACTTTCTATCCAAATACTTAACCAACGAGCTTTCAAGAGCACTTTCGAAGCACACTCAAACAGTGAAACATGTCTTAAAAACAATGTAAAAGGGGGTTACCTGTTCCAAGAAGCTCGGAGAAATTGTTCGTTCGGATCTGCAAATCGCGGTGTGTGAAGCTCATAGGAGCTCCAGACAAGATCAGAGAGCTCTCCATGGCTCTCTTTAAAACCTTTCTTCTATGAACATTATAATATAACAACAAACACAGCAACCCAATCAGAAAAGCCATACTCAAAACAATAGGAATAATTGTAGCCTTTTGTTTAGCACTTCCTGAAGAATCTCCATCAGTTCTTGGCCCATTGGCATCTGGTATTGATCCATTGGACCTAACCTTCACAAACAGAGTCGAACCAGCATCCTCAAACCCACCAAAATCTAAGCTTCTCAACACCCAACAATAAGGTTTCTCTTCATCAAGCCCATAAACAGAGGCAACACACTCACAATTAGACAAGCAAGCATCGCCACATTTGGCAACAGTGTCGATATCACTGTAATTTGCAATAACAGAGAACTCAGAGTAATAGTAATTTGTTTGCTGAACTGGAGAAATCCTGAACTGGGTCGCCGGAGATTGATGATGTTGGCCATCACATTTACCCACCGACGATGAATTCTCAAAGCACTGGCTACCACCGGCGTCCTTAAAAGTCCCCGGCAAGCAAGAACAAGTCGCGTTCGTCTTACTTCTATCCAAATAGCAAATCCCATTTCCACAGATTCCGGCAATATCACAAGGATTTGAAACCGCCGCCCATTCCGGCACCCATTGGCGAGACCCATTAACATCATCGTCCCATCGATACAAACGCAAGTTCCCATTACTCTCTAAGGTCAATCGTCGAACAACTTGCGTGCGTACATTGCGAATCGACTGATTTGTCGACGCCGACAATCCCCCATTGTCGTTATCGTTCTTGTAAACATACACAGCGCCATTAGCGGAGTCGCCATAGACCACACCGAAGCTTCCGCCTTCGTCTAGAACAGCGATGACTTCCCCTGTTACATTGGAAATGGCAGGGGCGGACCAGTAGGAGTAATTTGAGTAAGATTCGGGCAACCCCGCATAATTTTCAGGCAAATTGAATGTCAAGGCGAGTTTGAGAGTGGTGCGTTGTTGGAGCATTTTAAGGGCATAATATCCGCCATGGGAGAGGGATTTTGAAGTTGTAAGCTCTAAAGACACTGATAGAGGTTGATTTGGGAGAAGCGTATCAGATGGGTGTGAAAAGCTTTGCCAAATAGGGATTCGCTCGGCGTTGAAGAGGATGAAGTTGCCAGATTCTGACATGACGGCGAACTCCGCTCCGTCTCCGGAGGTGTTGGAAGACCAGACGGTGGCGCCACCGTCCAAAAGGACGAGGTTTCCGGTGGCATCAAACTCCACAATCGCATTCTTGGAGACTGGAGAGTTTCTATACGTAAATGATTGAGAGAAAAATGAAACTTGATCGCTTAATTTGAGCTAATTAAACATCAGAATTCTTCTTTTTCATGTCTTTTAAGAATATTGCATTGAAAAAACACTTTCTTTGAGAATCAAAATTTTGGATCAAACACTGTTCTTCGCATGAATTGGTTACATAATCAACTATTTCTAATCCATTAGTAACTAAGCTGGCAAACTGTGGACAGTGGACTTTGTTTGTCAAACTCCAAAGAATATTCTACAATCATTAAGATAAAAATGCATGAACTCCACCTTACTCTATATTGAACAATAAGAATATATATATATATGCTAACCTGTTAGCTGACCAAACCACGGTTCGATCCCCGGGAAGCTTGGCGAACCATATGGCAAGTAGAAATCGATCAACCGCGCCACTACTAGCCGGACTAAACCCGAACGCAAAAGTACTATTATCAGAAACCCAAGTGTTTCTCTCACGATCAGTAGCAACCAACCTCGCTCCAATTACAATTTGGCTAGCCATGCAAGCCCGAATCAGCCATACAACAGCCAAAGCGAACATAACCCACGAGCCATCACGAGACGACGAAGAAGCACCTACAGCCATTAGAAGGCAAAGATCACTTAGACATAGTTATTCAGCCATTGCCTTTAAATTACAAGAAGGATAACGATAATGGTAATGCAATAAGTGCAGAGAAGTTGGTGAGCTACATTTTGAAAAACCTTCCCCCAAAAATGGTCGGCTGAGAAAACACAAAGGGGGAACCTTTGATTATACGTGTTAGAAGCTGTGAGGTTGAAGGCCGAAATTTCATCAACTCAGTGGCTGTTTGACACGTTTATTGCTTCAATTATTGGTTTTGTTTATTTCTTCATACTTTTCACACCTTTGAATTAGAAATGGCACCTGGGATTTTCAAATTTTGTAATTTTTCAACCAATATTGCTCAATTTTTCCCATTGGCTTTTATGTTGTAGTTGACTTAATAATTTTGGATAATGTAAATTGGATACATATTCCACGTACATTAAATGTCGTGATGGTACAAACTATGGTTGATATTAAGTTAAGATTATAAATACGTGTCGAGGGTTAACATTAATGTACTGTTAGAAACGTACACGTTTATCCATTTCAGTGGACAATGGAATAAAAAAATTAATGATAAAATGAATTATCGATGGAAATTATTGCAGTAGCTTTAAATAATTTCTTTTTGGTATATCGTTCCAAGATTTTTTTTTTTTTTTAATAAAAAAAAAGTTAAATACATGTTGAATCTTATTACTAAGTTGGTATATTCGAATCTTCGATCTTACATGTTAAACTAAAAAAAAACGTCGTCATTATTAATGCTAGAGGAACAAATATTTTTCTAGTATAAAATTATTAAAAATGTGTCCCAAGAGTCTCCAACACACTGGCTAGTATTTTAGTAGACCTCACTTCCTCCTAAGTGGACAAACTCATTAGACCTATGAGACTTGAAATGGCCAACGAGGGAACCAACAAGTTCTAATGATTTTTTTCGGGTAATGGAGCATGTCGACTTTTTTGCAAACATGGTTTGATTTATCCATTATTAGAAGTGCTCATATGATATGATAAATCAACTTACTCGAACTATTCAATTGAAATTATAATGGTCCGCGTTGGGTTCGGTTTTTTTTCCTAATTCGGGCTTGAGTTGAATATTTGGAAAACTAAATATAACATGTATGGTAGATATCGGGATTAGTCCAAAAAAATTTTATTACTCAAACCGAACCTAATTTGTGTACACCTCTATCCATAACGATGTGCCCGAATAACAGTAATAGCCATGGTTTCCCTTCTGCGGCGGTACAATGGACAATGGGTTACCTTCAACAACAATGGATTTGACATTATAAAGCTCGAAGATAAGATCTCGTGCTCGGATACCGTGTTAATTATCCTAAATTAATTGGGTTTTGTTCTTGGTAATTTGAAAGGCAAACTTTACAAAGAAAACACAACATTCTCTTTAGGAATCAGACTGAGGCAATAAGTGTTTGGATTCTCTTGCAATGATTATGGTGTTTAAAAGGGGACCAATTTGTTTGAAGTCGTTCTCCTTTTTTGGGTGTTGTCCCAAAAACCTCGGCCTCTGTCCATGTCTTTTGCCGACAATCCCTTGGACCATTGTCTGCTAAATTTACAGTGCTCAATGTCCAATTCAAATTTGAGTGAAAACGACACAAACTTCTCTGGCTGATAACGAGCAAAGTTTCAAAATCACCACCACTCAAAACTGCTTACCATTCCTCAGCTTAATGATAAAAACCAATCCCATTATTCATTCAAATTCAAGGACAACAACTTGAATCGACCTGTAGATGTTGTCTACGTCGAGTTTTATCGAGTATGAATCGACCTATAGATGATATCTACTTCCCATCGAGTATGAAAATCGACCTGTAGATGATATCTACGTAGAGTCCTATTGAGTATGAATCGACCTGTAAATGATATGTACGTAGAGTCCTATCGAGTTTGAATCGACCTGTAGACGATATCTACGTCGGGTCCTATCGAGTTTGAATCGACCCTGTTGATATCTGGCATCTACGGTTTAAAGTAGCTATGAATAAAGTGAATATCTTTTCGGAAAGAGAATCTGTCTTCATTACATGTTCTTTATTGCCATCTCTAGAAAGTTCAGGCAACAACCCGGTTCGGACCTCGATCGACGCTTCCGACGAAGCCTCGTCCTTCATCGAGATGGACCCGAGAATGCCGCCCTCCAAGAGATTTTGTAGAAACTCCCAAGATTTCAAATTTGACTTCCCTGTCTCGCCGCCTTCCCTTGCAATTGTACATGCTGACCAGCTGATTTCCAATGGCTGCCTTGTGCCTTTTTTCATTGATCCACTTAAAGTTCAGACATATGAGGATGAAGATGAAGATTTCAATCCAAAATCTTCCCATACTCAAGAACATGTCCTTCCACTTCCACTTCCACTTCCACTTCCATCCAATACTTCTGACTGCTCCTCCATGAGAAAGTGCAGGAAACTATCCAAGAAAGTATTGCACAAATATTTGAGTTTTTTCAAGCCATTGTACCAAAGAATAAGAGGTTATAAAGCATCAAGTTCCAAATCAGAAAATGTTGCTAGAAGATCCAAATCTATGAAGAATTGGGAATATACATACGACGCGTCGCCACGAATCAGTGTAGCGTACACCGCCGATGATTGGCGAAGATCCTGTGATTCTGAGAGTTCTATCTATGAGGCAGTCCTCCATTGCAAGAAATCTATAGGTATATGAAGCATGAAAGCAGAGGATGAGATCAATTCAACATGAAATGATAATGTCCCCTTCTGCTACTATTTTCAGACCTTTTAACAATGAACACTTGTTTCGATTCGCCTGTGACCGAGCGGGTTCCTTACGGTAAATACTCGAATGCCATGTGAAGTTGATGAAGATGAATAGAACTTTTGTTCTTTACTTGGAGTTCTTTAGATGAGTTGAACAATCAAGTGACTCTTTGTTCATATTTTTAACCATTTCTTCAAAGTGAACTGAGTTTTTTTAGATGGGATCCCTATCTAAAAGACTTGGTAGCTATTCAATGAGGTCATAAGGAAATTGTGGGGGGTCCCCTAAGTTGCTTTTGTTAAGCAAGGAATCCATAGCATGTTGTTTTCTTGTCATTTGCACATGAAAAAAGCACTCCAACTTGCTTTTTCATTACATGTTCTTTATTGACAATAATTGTCGGGTTTTGTTTCTTAATCACCGTGATTCTATATTGAATATGTTAATAATCATCTTGAGATATTAACTCAGTTAAGATATATACTCACAACCAAAAGATAAGAGATTCGAATCTTTCATGCGTAAGGATGGCTCATCGTCCAATCGTTTGTCAAGAACCACTATTGATGTAGAACAAGCAAAGCTATTTAAGTAAAGAGATCAATGGCTAAGCAAATGCTAGGTCATGTATCTTTGGTATGCCAACGTGTAGCTCAACTGTTCAAGACATATATATACCTTCAACCAAGAGGACAAAAGATCGAATTTCATCAACACGCCAACCGTTTGAACAGCGCCGATTATCTTAGGCTAAAAGAACCAAACCCCATCTTTTAGTAACACAATATCTAGCTCAAATCCTCTCTGAACCACAAAAACTTCAGAAATAGAAAGGCACTCGGATCGAGGGAACTCGATCGTAGCTTCGACCGATTGTTATGCATACTTTAGCCCTTGAATTTAGCTTTTTGGTGGCAGGCAAACAATTAAAAAAAGAGGTTAACTCTTTAACTTTTCTCTTGCACAAAGCTAAAAGTTTCAATGCATGAATTTTAGTCACATCACAGACCACTTGAAGCATCCTCAGACCAAACTTTCAGTTTTATCTCTGGGCATAATGATGAACATGGGCTCCATTTCTGCTCATGTGTCTGCTGCAAAATTGTAGCTTTCATTTTTGGTGTGCTTGATATTATAAACAGTTCGTCTTCAACTCTGTAATATTAAGGGCTTTTGGTAGATCATTTGAATACTTGAAATTCAATCAATTGCTAACATACCCAAAAAAGACAGAACACTGTTTCAGGATGGGCAAGCATTTCAGCCACATCTTCATGCAGTGTCTCTTATTAAAAACCTTATCTTTTCTTCTGCATACCAACAAGATTTGCCTACTCCTTTTCACTATCATTTTTTGTAAGCCTACTTCATGCACAAAAGCTCTCAAGTACTTGAGTATAATTGTGCTGAGAAACCAAAAGAGAGAGCAGCCATGGTAAACTCCTAGTGTCCGAGAAAAGGAAAAAAATGAGTCAACACTAAATGGTTCCCACATCGCTGTGTCTCTCAAAAGACCCTCATAAGAATACAAGACACCTGAAAATCCTTTACTGCCTTTTTCTTTAGCTGTGGTAGGCTTTTAGCTAATGGACTACTAGTGTTGGCTAAAAATGAGAAGTTTGTCACCTGTCTTTAAGCAAGAAGGAGGAGACATGGAGAAAATATGCAAGGATAGATGACAAAGGATGATAAAATTATCTGTTTTTCGACCGTTGAAGCACCGATGCCCACTGTTAGTAAATATTGTCTTTTTTAGGCTTTTCCTTTCGGGTTTCCTCTCAAAGTTTTTAAAACGCGTCTCCTAGGGAGAGGTGTCCACACCCTTATAAAGAATGTTTCGTTCTCTTCTCCAACCAATGTGGGACCTCACAATCCACACCTTTTTAGGGTCCAGCGTTCTCGCTAGCACTCATTCCCTTCTTTAATCGATGTGGGACTCCCCAATCCACTCCCTTTGGGACTCAGCCTCATCGCTGGCACATCGTCCGATGTCTGGTTCTGATACCAGTTATAGCAGTCTATGCCCACCGCTAACAGATATTGTCCTTTTTGGGTTTTTTTTGTTGGAGTTTCCCTCAAAGTTTTTAAAATACGTCTGCTAAGGAGAGGTTTCCACACCCTTATAAAGAACACATCGTTCTCCTCCCCAACTGGTGTGGGATCTCATGCGATGGGTGTCTGTCCTTTGTGTCATTTCTGTATCAGCATTTTGTGCGGGGACCAGGACTTCCCACATGCAATTTGCCATCTGTGAGTCATCCTTCAGTCACTATAGTTGCAAACAAGACAAAGTAGCAAACTCATAAATACGCTTACTTTTGCCAGTTAAGTTGTGGGGTTCCCTTGATAATGTCCTTCAGCTATGAAGGATTAATAAGACAATTATAACTAAAGGTCAAAGTCTATCCTACTGGTAGTGCATTGAACAACTTTATGTATCAATTCAAATTCTTTGCCCCAAGAATGGAACAAATCAATACGATTCAAGAACTTTCTGTTCACAAAACTCAGCGCAACGTTACTGTACGGTTACCGTAGATGTTACGAACCGATCACTGTCAAGATATACTTTCTAAGAAGACTTGTAGGGAATGGCTTTTAGGAAAGTTAGGACAAACTGATCTGTGCTAAAGCCAGTGTCCATGCCTTATGTCTGAGGATTTTCAAAAAGTCCTACTCAAAGTTTTAGGACAATGACCATATATCACATGCCTTTTCTTTGTTTCAAAAACTAGGAATGTTCATTGCACTACTCCACCAATGATGTTGATGAACTTTCTGGGTGCTGATAAATTAATCGAACCTTGAATGTCGTGTGATAGCAACCTTGGATGTGTTTTACATCATAAAGATTCAGTGTATCGATGGAGAGAAGCTAGGTATTAGAGAATGACACTTTTGTGAATAGAGCCATCTCTAAGTTTTTAAAATGCGTTTGATAGGGAGAGATCCACACTCTCATAAAGAATGTTTCGTTCCTTTCTTCAACCGATGTAGGATCTCACAATCCACCCCCTTTTGAGGCCCGGCGTGTCCTTGCTGGCACTCGTTTCCCTCTCCAATCGATGTGGGACCCTCCAATCCACCCTCCTTCGAAGCCTAGCGTCTTTGCTGGCACACCGCCTGGTCTCCACCCCCTTCAGGGTTCAGCATTCTCGCCGGCGGTGTCTGGCTATAAGACCATTTGTAAACAATTCAAGCCTACAGCTAGTAGATATTGTCTTTTTTGGACTTTCCCTTTCAAGTTTCCCCTCAAGCCTTTTAAAACACGCCGATTAGGAAGAGATTTCCACGCCCTTATAAATAATGTTTTGTTCCTTTATCCAACCGATATGGGATCTCACATTTCCAATACCCAAAAACTGATCCCAAGAGTTTTTTTTTTTTTTTTTTTCACTTTTCCTCTTCGAGATGAAACCAAAAGTAATTCGTAGTGTGAGAAATAAAAAATACAAGTCACAGCTAGAAACACGAGACAACTCTCTCTAAGAATCTCTAAGAACCTCGGTTTCATAATTTTAAGAGAATGAGCGTCTCCTAAAAGGGGTCACAATCACAATGACTAGGCCCAAAGTAGATAGCGAACAACCAAATTCCTACAAAAAAGAAAAAATGATAATTAAGGATAAAACAACGCAACTTAGAAGGACAGACATCAATTCAAATATTGGATTATAGAACAGACTATGATTGGAGGAGTATTGTAGGAATAGCTTACTTCATTCAGAATGAATCAGCAGTGGCTATTTCAGATCATCATTCAATGTCCTGTGCAAGTGCAACAATTGCATAGAAAGCAACAGCAATGGAATTTCCCTTATAATCATCATTTCCTTCGAAGAAAACTACAGAACAATCATTGATACCTTCCAAATAACACACTTCATCTAGACACCAATGCAGAGGTACAGACGATAAGTGAAAGAAGAAAAACAGCCGAAAACGGATATAAGTAGACAATTTCATGTGCAAAACAGCAGGCTGAAATACGAAAACAAATCGAAAATCTCACTTTAAATGTTGCAAGACTTGAAACTGAGCTAACCACAACAGTTCTTCACTTATTCGTTATTTCAATTATTCTAATAGGAATGATTTTAAAATGATTGGAAGACATTTTTTTAATTACTATACATTAATTCTCGAGCCCTATTCGTTCTTGCGTCGCCTACGGCCAAGCGACGTATGCTCGAGCCTCTGGCCCCGATTCAAAAAGAAAGTTTTAAAAAACGGAGCAGATAGATTTCGAAAGACAGTTTTAAAAACAAGATTTGAACGATTGAAATTAATGTTATATAGAAATGTAGGCAATACTTACTGTATATATAACACTGAAGTTGATATATATTTTTTATTATTATTAATTTAAAAGAAAACAAATAAATGTTTAAAAGTGCAACCATTTCAACGCACATTTTAGGGCAAAATGAAAATAAATAAACTTTTGATAATTAAGAACTGTTTTTTCAAAAAAAAAAGACTCGGAAGTCCAAACCGACAGATTATTGAAAAACTGTGAACCGAACATACAACAGCAGAAAAGCAAAGATGCGTATAATTAATTACTCTATAAGGCATATATCCTCAACCGAGAGGTAATAAGTTCGAATCCCCATCCCGTTGAACTCAAACAAAAAATTACTCAAGAAGGCCTACGCTTGGCATTGACAAGAAAAGGCAAAGATATATTGGTGCAGAGATCACCAATCTGCCCAAAACTTACTGAGAGCTGTCTTGCCAGAAAAAGAAAACAAGACTGCTAAGAGGAATATGATGTAGGTAAGCATGACCAGACGCAAAGGCTTCATAATCTAATTCTTCTTCTTCTTCTCTTGAAGTGCCCCAATGGGGATTTTACTTAGAACCTTGGCATCAAACACAGCATACTGCTTCTTGAACTCTATCCAAGCTTTCTCAGCCAATGGGTCAACCTGGTCTTCATACTTCTCATAAAACACTGGCACCGTGTGTAGCAATACAATGGCTGATTTTCAAGAATCAATAGCACACCAGAATATCAATAGGTATAACACATATAATTTCAGTTATAAATGCAAAACTTTTGGAGATTTCTCATCCAAATAACTGACGGTGTAGAATTCCTTACATATGTATAACAAGGTCAGAAAATTGCACCAACTGCCAACTACTGATAGAACCCATAAACCAAGAAAAACCTGTTAAT